CGCCTTACTCCTGATAATAGTTTCTTCTAGGCTGAGGAATGAGAGAAAGCAGGGCCCTTCTTCTAGCACTTTCTCTCTGCGGGAAGTAAACAAATTGGCTCAGCTCTTTTTGTTGGCAGTTGCTCATCTAAGTGTAAGGCTATGTATGGGCTATCACAGTATGAAAGTGATAGACTGTAAGGGGATTTCTGACTAAGTTACTTTATTCACTGATTTGTGCCTTAATTTTCTTTATTTGCACACCTTTCATAAAAGCAAGATAAAGCTATTCCAGAACACTGACCATTTTGTTTTTCTTTTATGTGGCAACTGATTTAGGAAACTCTCAAGTCATACACACTCTGTTTTAAATTAAGAAGTGACTTTTTTGTGACAGATTCTATGGCAGTTGTATATTATTTCAAAGGGTTAATCAGATTAGTCAAAAGATGTCAAAGTCACTATGTCTCCATGGTGGCACATGCCTGTAATCCCAGCACTCATGAGACTGAGGCAGGAGGATCGCTGCAAGTATAAGGCCAGCTTTGGCTACATAGTGAGTTCATGGCTGGCCTGACATAGCAAGATCTTGCCCCCACACCAAAAAAATTTAACTATGTTTTGATAGATTTTCATTCTTATTTTATTTTTTTTAAAAATCTAGTCTGCATATTTCTAACAGTAGACCAGATTAGAATATATGTAATATGTGTTCATATAGTATATAGTTTTGTTTTGTTCTTTGGTACCAGGTGCTTGTGAGGAAGGTGGAGGCACCACTGAGCTAAATCCCTGGCTATAATTTATCATTTATGTATAATAAATAGGAAAGTTTAGTGAGTGCTTTTTTTTTAACTTCTCATTCATTTCTGAAGAACCGTTGAGCATAAGCATAAGGGTATACCCTTACCATAAGGATAAAATGATTAAACATAAGATACGCTCACAAATTTTTGCCTAGTTTTAGACTATAGGGTAGCCTATACTTTAGTAAGAAGTATTTCAAGGATGCTGATGAAATTAAGTAATCAGATTAGAGTCTGCGTCAAGTAGACCAAATGAAACCTCAGCACAACTGGGGAGAGGCATTTGAGGAGATTATGTTTTAATTTTCAGCGAGTCTTGATTGTTTTACAAATGATTAGGACTGTTGAGCCGGTAAGATATGTGTGGGGTTTGTTTGTTTGTCTTCTTTTTAATTTTGTTTTTGTTGTAGTTGTTTGTGCTTCCACTTGGGTGTGTGTGTGCTCCTGTGCCTTGTGGGTTATACTCTCTCAAAACTTGAGTCCACAGTAGAACATTATTCTAGATTGTGTACTGACTGTTGTTTAATGGGTTGCTTATTGTATCTTTAGAGAAGTGTAAACTTGAATCCTTGAAATTGGTCTCTACTTAGGCCTAAGACCATATTAGAAAACTTTTTTGAAATTACTTACAGTATTCCATGTAATTATATAGCATATTCTTCCACATAAAGCACTTCAGCCAAATGCTTAATATCTTAATAACCCAATTATATATGGCAATGGCAGTAAGAAAATTTTAAAGCTTAAATACCTAATCAAATAAAACCCATTGGAGCATAACGGTTCACCCTGTGGATGCTCACACACAAAATGCCCCCCACCCTGGTGTGAGGAAAGGCTTTCTGGGAAACAAGTAGCACCTTCAAAGAGAGCTTAAGAAAGGAACTGTTTACAAAGGTGTGACTAGATTAAAACGAACCTCCAGGTTTGAGAAGGAAGCCCTGGCTGAGCAATAGTGGAAATTCTTTTTGCCCTCTTCCTGAAAGAGCAAGGAAGGAGAATAGTTATTAAAACTCAGAGACAGCCACAGCAATAGTTTTTGGAGAGCCACAGCTGTGACTTCGTGGCTGTGGCTTTCATAGATGAAGACAGAGTCTGGTAATGTGAGGAATGGAGGGGAAGCTGTGAAAGGGGTGATGCCTGAAACTCTTGCCTCAGATCTTCTTGTCTCTTATAAGCACCTTCCATTGGTCCTAAAAGCCAAAGTACTTGGCAGCCCATAAGATTCAATCCATTGAAGTATTGCCTTCTAGACCACAGTCCTAAGAGCAGGGGCAGAGAGCAGATCTGGAGGGCAAAGCAAAGGCATAGCACTGACGACTCCCCAGCTACGAACAGACTCATGTGCTTTTTGGCTTTACTCCCATAACACAACACCTGGAAAATAGAATTCTTGGAGCAACACCTTGAAATAATAGTATGTTTAACTGTATCACATGAACTAAGAATGACTTTACTAGTGAAAAATATGACGATGATTATTATTATATGGGTACAGTGTAAAATTATAAGCATGCATATCTTTCCCTATGATGAGCTGTTTCGAATTTACATTTGTACTTTGTTAAGAATGGTAATTGCTGATGCCTTTGGTAAATACTTTGGTAAAATGGTAAAAGACTGTTATTTGGTTTAATAAAAACAGAATACAAGCATTCTGCAGGAGAATAATTGGAGAGCCCCCAAATAGAGGAAAATGTCATTTCTGATCTAAATTCCAACGGGGGAGGCAGAGCAAAGCAAAATCACACACAGACTTTATTAAAGCATATTCAGTGAAGCTTTGACTCAGCTGGATCCATGAATAAAATGTGTTGCCACCATCACAGGTGTTAATTTGGGTTGAAGGGGCCATCCTTTACAAATCAGTATCTGAGAACTGTCTCCTGTGGAATTGGAAATTGAACCCAGCATCCTAACATTGTACTTCTTCTGGCTTATAATGAAGAAGGGTCAATAACTCCCAAGTAATGACCTTGGATCCCTGCCATTACCATGTCTTCCAAATTCTCCTGTCATGTTCTTCAGACTGTGTTTATCAACACACAGCAATAGCCTACAGTAATGCTCACTGTCAGATATGTCTAAAGGAGCACAGCTCTTAGTGTCCCTGAAAGTAGAATTGAATAATTGAGGCTCTTTATGGTGACTCTACAGCCTCAAGAGTAATTGATTATGTCTCAAATGCAGTTATTAAGCCTGGAGAACTTTTGAAAAGCTACCAAGATTAGTTAAAATAAAGGATTTACCATTTAAAGGTAAACATAAAATTAAGCTCTTACATAATGCTAAAAATAAATGTACTATTTTACTGCCTCTAAGGGGAGTTCTTTTGGTTAAGCTGTAGTTGCTCAGGAATTTCATTTAAACAAGACACCATATTCCCAGTTACTCCATATAATCAATGTTTTGATAAAATGTGATCATCCACAAGTAAATTTTGGTGTAAAGAGACATTATATATAGGTTGTTTCACAAATATAAAAACAAAATCAGAGCTAGGTGGATTGATGAAATACAATGTCAGAGCATAAAAAATATTAGAAATAATTTGACTTCAGTCTTGCCACTTTACAATAGAGGAAATTAGGTATAGAGAGGTTGATGTCCCCAACACATGCACACATTATGTTATGACTGATTTTCAACAAGATGTGAAATATCCACATCCAATAATCTGACCTCTTCAATCTAGCAGTTAAGTAAAAGATCTAGAGTGAGACCAACTTGGTTCTGTTATTGGCTCTGAAGTTTTCCATTGTGTGTACTCTGAGCTCTGGTGACAGATCTTACCGTGCCAGAAAACATTACCTGGACATTATTCCAGAGCTATAGACACTGAGATTCTGCATAGAACATGTCCTGAGGAGAAGTCCTTAAAACAGAATGGCAGCAGGAGAATTGGAAAGCATGTTAACCGAGTCTCTGTACAGGAAGGAGACCAAAAAGAGGAAAGGGCTCTACAGTGGACACTGTCTCAGTGTGTATGGCCACCTCAGCTTTTGAGCTTGGATGCCTGGTGGCATTGTGCTTTATTTCTTTCTGCCTGTAGAATACTCTTCACCCTGGGATTTGCTGGGATGATTGGTGTGGTATTGGGGTGTTATCTCTTTTCTTAATGGCTAGTCTAAAGATTTTAAGCATGCTTTGAACTTTTAAGCCTCATTGAGTCGGCATCCTAAATGTGAACTGTCTTTGATCCTGTTTGCACCTGAGTGTAGACTCCTGTTGTCTAGAGGAGACATTAATAGGATTCACCTCAAATAAAGGCTGTGATGGTAATCTCAGCATTCAGGGGGCTGAGGCAGGAGGATCATGAGTCCAAGGCCACCCTTGGCTACATAAAAAGTTCAAGACCAGCCTGCACTACATAGTAAGACTCTGTCCTGCAACTTTCCCCAAAGGTTTTTATGGTAATGAAAAGACATCACATCCAAGAGTGCACAGTAAGATGCTTGGCATGCATTAACAAATGTTACACACAACTATTATTCAACTATATCCCAAGAGCACATTTGGCATTGATATTGTCCAGAACTTTGACTTCTGTGTGACTTAGACAAGTTTCTTTTTATAGAGTGTATTAGTTAGAAACAGTAGCTTTGGTGAAAACATTAGACAATATGAAAAAGCTGGTAGACTTATCATTTACAATCTAGGTCTAGTTGAGGCTTAACTGTTGTTGTCCAAAGAGACAAATATATGGTACGGTTTTAATTTTTTTAAAGCCCAATCTTTGGTTTGAAAAGCCTAAGATCAAATTCCTGTTTCATCATTTAATAAGAGATGTCAGTGAAGGCCTGGGGTGGAATAGCTTAGTGTAAGAACATATATGTTTAAGTATGCACACAGCCTCAGATTCAGTCCTTAGCCCCCAAAACAAACAAAAAACAAAAGTGTCAGAGAACAAATCACCAGGCCACATTGAGCCTCTGTTGTCTCATCTTTAGAATGAGGTGACTCTGGTCCCAGCTACTAAGGAGCCTGAGGCAGGAAAATCACTTGAGCCTAGAAGTTGAAGACTACCCAGGGCAATATAGCGAAACCCTGTCTAAACATCTACAGGAAGAAAAATTTTTTAAATATATTGTTTAAAAAATGAGGCTGACAATACCTATTCAGTGGGTGGTTGCAGAGCTCAAGTGAGAGAAAATAAAGAGGCAGAAGGCTTTGTTGGAGGTGAAAATCTGAGCTATGTTTCCATTTTCTTTCTAGTTTTCATCTTGCTGCTGCAAAAGGACATGTGGAATGTCTCCGGGTCATGTTTACACATGGTGTGGATGTGACTGCCCAAGACAGTACTGGTATGTGTTTTTCTAATCTCTTAAATTGACAGACCAGCAGGAGAATATCACAAAGGTGGTGATACATACTCATTGTGGAAAAGATACAGTCTACAGATAAGCCCAAAGAAGAAAAACAGAATCACTTCCAATAGCTAGGCTCTGGCATGGTTTCATCATTTGTCTGTATCTTCAAGTGCATTTTCTTCTTCTAGGTCATTAGTCACTGGAGACTGTATGCTTCTTATCCTCATTTTTGATGTGATTTTCTAAGATAATATGTATGAACCAAGCATTATTTCCATTATTTGTTTTTATGAATGATAGTGTAAGATAATAAATAGGGTGAATTTTAGTATCACATTTTACAACTAGCTGAAATGAGCACTGTGGACAAAAGCCATGATCTACATCTTGACCAGCTGCCCAGGATCCTTAGTACTATACTACATGCAAGTCACCAGTATCATGTCTCCCATTAAAAGCTCTTAAGAAGCATAGTTTTTATAGCCATAGCATATCATGTGAGTACAGTTTGTATTTACCAGCCAAGCCTTAACTGGGTTTCTGAGAGCCTAGTATAGTGCTAGTAGCAAGGCTTGGATATATCAGCTCAGTGCCCACGTCCCTGAAGACTGAGATGGCCTGGTCCTCCAAGAAGGAGCCCCAGAAGAGGCCCTTAGACCCATCAGGGAGGCTTCTCAATGCTGGCAGGAGAAGTTGATTAAAATGGCTTCTTCAAAGCACTTTGTGATTCCAGGACATCGTTGAAATGTTCCATGGATTGAAGAAGTCTCAGAGCTTCTTACAGTCCCTTTCCCCATTTTCTACCATTCTTAGCAAGGAGGCTAGCACTTCACACTAAATGAGGCACTAACTTCTTGTGATAAATTCTTGAAAGTCTGCAAAGAAAACATGGAAACAAAAGAAGGAAAAAGGTGCATGGAATGACTGTGTGTTATCTAAAAGAACTGTTAAAGTCTTTCTGCTACCAAAAAAAAAAGGATAATTGGATGGCTTTAATTGCCTATGCTCATGTTTTTCCTGTTGGCTACAATGCCTGCTCCTTAATTCTCCCTCCAAGAAAGCATATATGGATACAAGAGAAGGATACAAAAGAAGGATGAGGGTTTTAACCACTGCCTTCATGATTATCAATAGTCAAAAATGATTTTATGGTAATAGGGTTAGCTTTGACAGGAGATTTTCAATAAATTTGCCTCAGATATTGACACATTATTACAGAGATTCCATCTTCAGTCTCAAAACCTACTTAAAAATGGCACAAAAGTGTTTTTTTTCTTTTTATCATAAATCATACTACCTGTAAAAATTTTTTTCAGGACTGGAACTCCTTTCAATATATATGAGACTGTTTTTATCCTTTTTGTCCACAAAGTCTACATGACGGTCAAATTGGTCTAATTTTCTACTTCTAAACTATTGACTGGATTTAAGAATTAGACACAAAGGGTTTTTATTATCCTTTTTAAAATTATCATTCCACAAGAAATACTTAGAATTCTGAGAACTTTTATGGGTGCCTTACAGTTAATTTTACAAGTGAAACACTATCAAATAAGGCCATGGAACCAGTCAGAGTATGACACCAGCGGTGTATTAGATAGCTTTGGAGGCATCAGTGAGTTGAGGTTTGTGGGCACATATTGCTAGGCACATAGAAGGGCTCACTGTATTTGACTACTAAATTGTCATGATTATTATTGGCAGCCAGATCACCTTTATTCTCTTTCACTGGGCTACTGAAAGATCAGTTTCAAGGGCCAGGGATTTAGCTCAGTGCCACCGTGCCTGCCTCGCAAGTGCAAGGTCCTGGAACTCAAAACCACAGTACCACGAAAGAGGGGGGAAGGAAGAAGCAAAGATCCATTTCAGATCTTATACACATACTTACATGTGTGCAAATACATACAAAACAAAGCTTGACAGTCATCACAACATAGGCTGTCATTTTAAAAGTAAGAAAAAGCAAACCCAAAGACTCTTACACAAAAATATCACTTTAAGGTTTTTTGGGGGGAGGGGGTGGGATTCATATTCCTTAGTTTGCCTGTTTGCCACCAAAAACACACAGCACTCTCGTAGAGAGGCCAGTTCCTGGACCATCTCTGAACTAAACCCATATAATTCCTTTGATACCCTTTGTTGCTTGTTTGTTCTAGTCCTACAATGATGTAAGAGTTGGGAATTCTCTCTGTTTTTTAGAAAGCATTTCTTCTGGGCAAACAGCAAAGTTGATGCCTAGCTTTTTTTTTTTTTTAATTTATTTTTCTTTGCTTTTGACACCTGCACTTAGCACTATGGAGTAGAAAATGCAATCACATAGAAACATTACCAAAAGATTGAAGAAGACCAAAGAATCTTCTATATATTATCAGTATGTCTCTGCAGACTTCCTTTATTAATAAGTATATATACTTGATACTGTGACAGAAACCAAAATAGGAATGGCTTAGACATTAAAATTTCATTTCTCCCAATTACAAGATCCAGATTAATGTGGTATCTCCGCTCTGTATCATGATGACCTAGATCCATTGTTGCTACACCATGTAGGTGTTTCTGTGGTTCCCATGGCCTAGATGGCTCCCCGGGTGTCCCTGTCAGCAGTGCGGGGAAGGATTGTGTGGCCCACGTGGCACACATAGATTTCCATTCAGATCTCACTGGACACAGCATGGACCATGGCCACATCTAGCTTTAAGCAGAGCAGGAGAATTCTGGGCAACAATTTGTTTAGTTAAATCAAATGTTTTACTGTAGAGGGAGGCAGAAATGGACTGAAGGATGATTTGCAATTTCTCTCACACTGACATATTTTAGTATATCTCTAATTCCCAAAGAAATACTTGGCTTTCTTAATAAAACAGACTTCAGAGAGTAACAAGCAGAGGTTTGAAAACATAATACACAGAGGAAGAGTCCAAAAGGAGGGAAAACTTGTTAGCCCTTCTTGTTCTCTAGCATTTCCAGTTCCTGGTTTAGCTTTTTTGATTTCTGGATGACGACATTCTGTCACACCCCAAAGTCCACTCAAATTTGATACTGTGTGAAGACACAAAAGATAATATTCATCTTAAAACTCAGATACTTTATAGGATAAGACATTAAAAAGTTTAGCTATAAGTCAACCTAATAGATGTATTTTAATTTCGAATTAAGAGAAACCAAAAAAGATGTATGATTTATGGTGCTTGACTTGCTGCAGATTCAGCTGTGTTGTGGGGAGGGTCACAGAGGCTCAGGAGGGTTCTACGTGCTTCACACACACGAGAACATCGCTTGATGCTCATAAAACACTATGTCAACCTATACTGTGCTTTACAAATAAACAGAGACTAAGGAATAAGTTCAAAACTGTAAAATTAAGAATAATTATTATAAACAGGTCTTTTCTCTCCTGGAAATACAGCAGGATAAATGTACTTGTGCTTCAGTGATAAAAATTTGATGTAAACATGAGCCTTTCCAAGAATAAGGCTGTTTAAATATATTTTAAATTGTAAATAGGAACTATATTTATTTTTTATTGGTTTATGCTTGTGATTGGAAAAATTATATTTGTTTTTCGGAATTTGTATATGTGATCAAGTTACAATATCCTGAGTGACAACTATAGAGATATGTCTATATCATTTATAAAAATATATATATATATATATATGTCTTAATCATTTTTGATCCCCTCCCCCTAGAACTAAAGAAGTTTATATTTCATTGTTTAAATATGTTCTGCATTCTGAAACTTTGGTTTTTAAGAAAATATTTTATATTTTATCTAGTTGAATACTATTTAATTATCTTTATTCCTACATGTTTCTGGATTATGATCCAATACTATGGTTTCTCAAACTTTGGGCTTTTGTGTTTTTTAGCCACATCTGAGTATCTTATGACTTCTTCTGTCTTAAAAATTTTCATCTCACTTGAGAAATATGGTCTCAGTCCCATCAGTCATTCCTATTGCATTTTACCTCTTTTCTCCAGCAGTCTTAAGAATGGAATAAATTACCACTGATATAGTTTAGGGGACGATTTTTGTAGCTCAGGTTGTTAAACTTTCCCGCTTGGGGGTTCTTTCTTTCTTTCTTTTTTCTTTTTTGCAAGTGTGTGTGTGTGTGTGTGTGTGTGTGTGTGTGCACGTGCACGTGCGCACATACACATGTGTTATACTCAGGATTGAAACCAGGTCTTTACACTGGGCCTCAGCCCTTTTCTTGTTTTATGAGACAAGGTCCCGCTAAGTTCCCCAGGGTAGGCTCAAAATTGCATTCCTCCTGCCTCAGCCTCCCACAGGCATGAGAATACAGGTGTGTGGCACCACCACAAGCTTGTTCTCTTACAATAATAGGATTCTTAAAATTCCTGAAATGGTCCAAGGCTCTTGATTTATAAGTAGCATTGGTCTTTTTATTTTCAGTTAAAGAACTGCCGTTTTTATTTGCCTATAAGGAAATTAATTTTCTTCCTGGTATTTCAGAAAGATTCACAGATGAATAAGAGTTAGACATTGCCTCTCATAGCAGGATTCTGTCACTAATATACTCTGGGAAATTTTACATTTAGAAAGAAAATTTTGTTCCATGTTAACAATGCAAGACACCTTGCTTCAGATATGCAATAGTATGCAGGGAATGATTTGTCATTTGAGTTTTGAGATTATTTTAAGTAAAAAATACTTTTGTGTTGCTAGTTAGAAAAACATATCAGAGCCAGGGAATAAAAGAACTTTGCTTCTCCAGATATGCAGCACTAACTTCGGGTATGACCAGAACACTAGACGTGAAATGAAAGCCTGCTGTTTACTTATGAGATTTTCTTTAAATGTCCCTACCTCAATATCCCTGGAGAACTCTGCCTTTCTCAGATGAGCACTGAACCTCTTTGTATAGAACACCTTTTGTTCACAGCATAGACAAAAGCTAATACATTGCATGCACAACATAAACAAGCTGCAGCTTACAATCAGGATGTGTTCCAAAAGTTCATTTATTTAAAATTCAGAATGTACTTGTCTGTAGAAACAGTGGTATAAATGATCACTGGCAAGGCCAAACTAGCCCACAAAAGTCTATTTAATCTATAATGTAACTAAACTCTTGCTATTATGATTTATTCATTCTGGATAAGGGGAATCTCATGCAATAAAAGGAGTAAAAGATCTCTTTTTCCTCATTCCTTAACCTTATTTATTTTTAACCTTTCAGGAAGGGGTAGATTTTTTACCCCTCAACTAGCCTCTCCCTCAAGTATATCCTTAAGATCTCTCAATACCTCTGTTTCACAGTAGAAGGGAGCTGTTCTTTTGACATTACATATGCTTTTGTTTAGGTCACTGTGATCCTTTGACCCTATAATCTTAAATATGGTGTTTTCTAGCCATGTGATCCTCCAATTAGAAAATTCTGGTCAGTGTTAGAGAGTGACAACTAATTCAAAACAGAGAATAGTATTTCAGAATTGGGTCACAATATAAAAAACTTGTTTTCCTAAGCTAATTGTTCTCATCTAGAAATGAATTGGCCTCCAAAGAACATCTGGAAATCCCTGGAGACATATTTCTATTGCCATAACTAAACATCTAGTGGGTCTGAGAGGTGGCTTAACATCTTGTAATTCACAAGACAACCATACACAGCAGTTATCTAGCTTACAATATCATTGGGGCTATGTTGGCCATATAATTTGAGAAATACAAGATTATGACTTTCCTAAGGCTTGGATGGAAACTGCAGCAAGTCCTACATTCCATTTGAAGATAACACAGCCTCTAATTCACATGGAAGAGAACTGAAAGCCTCCTGTGTACTGGAAAGATTGTAGGTGCTAGGTAAACAGCAGGGAGCGATACAGACAAAAAGTACATCCCAATCATTGTATTCCTCAAACTTCTGGGAGCTATGAAGAATAAAGAAATAAAGCAGAGAATCAGGATAAAGCCACAGTTAGAAAAGAATTGGAGTTTTTAATGAATAGGCCAGGAGAGATTTAATTCAAAAGACCTCATTCTGGTGGCATCCAAAAGGATAAAAGAGCAAGCTTTATGATATTGTAGGAAAGGAAATTCCAGGCTAAATAGACAGCAGTTGCAAAGGCCCTAGCATGGGCAGTCTTCTGCCCCTTAGGCTGCCCCTAAGCCTGCCTCCAGGGAAGCTCTAGAGGCCCATTTGGTAGTGAGGGAGTTGGGCAGAACACTGGGATTTCCTGAAGTTATCTGTTAATAGAACAGCCAAGTCTTTTGTTGGAATCATGAAGGGAACTCATAGAAATGCTATAGTAATAGTACATTGCTGAGTGTCCATGAAACGTTACTGGAAACCTCTGCATTTGGCTCCAGTCTCCTACTCAGTGTACAGTGGAGGCCTAAGAAAAAAACTAAAAGAACTGAGAGACAAAGCAGGCCTCCAGGACAACCATTGCCAGTGCAACCAACAAAGGCTCTGGTCTGTCCAAACCACTCATTTTTATTGTTAATCAGTTGGGGTAAGGCAAGCTATGTGCAAGGGTTAAACTACATGGGAGGATGTGCAGTTGTGCCGTTTCTATGGAAATTAATATAAGCAAACCTCATAAAGGACAAAACAAAGCATTCTTGAATTAGGAACAGAATAGACAAAATATATGATTGTAATTAGAATATTGTCCTTCTAGTTAAGAAGGTTTTAATCGTGAGAACAGAATTTGGGTGTGAGTTACTTTGACCTTGACATGTAGGCTTTGGCTGGACTCACTTCAATAAACAAGCCAATTGTGAGGTTAACTCTTTATAGCCTGCACTGCTTACAGCCTGTTTTGGGCAACACAATATTGCAGTCTCTTTCAGTCCATTGCTTCACAACTCTTTCTTTTCTTTGACATAAGTTTTTGAAAATCCAAAACCCTGGGTAATGTCCATTCAGAGCTAGAGTATATTTGGGGGCAAGAGGAATAAGGGGTCAAAGGTAGGGATCTCTGGTATATTTTCTGCTGGCTTGTGGTCTGCCTTTTTGGGTTCCTAAGTCTGGGGTGGCCCCAGCCTGGTTACACTGTTGTAGATGCAGGGCATTTGACACACACTTTGACAGCTTTCTGAAAGCAGAATATCTAAGCTGCATGTCATGAGTCCACCACAAGCCTCTAGTACAGGGCTTAGTTGAAGCCCAAGAGAACAGCAGTTGGAGCCTGTGAATGTTATCTGGTGGGCAAGATGCTCTATTCCCCCCACTTTTGTTGCACTAAAGAATGTGAAGTCATCTCCAGTGGAACAATTCTGTCTTTGTTGGAGAACAGTTTATTTCCTCATAGTTGTCTTAAGACAGAGATTAGAAAAAGATGCAAGAAGTGTGACCTTCTCCCCATGTTTTGCTTTTTAATCCATTCAGGACACAGTGCTTTACACCTTGCTGCCAAGAACGGCCATCACGAGTGTATCAGGAAACTTCTTCAGGTAAAGTGGCAACAACTTAAAATTACAAATGCATCATTCTTCAAATTTAAAGGTGACCTTATCTGTGAAAGAAAAAAAAAAACACTTCACACACACACACACACACACACACACACACACATGCCTTTTAATACTATCCCAGAACCTGTATTTCCTAAGTAGCCTTATTACTGAAATTATAGGGAAAGTATTATTTCAGTAGCAATTCCACTGGCAAAAAGGCTTCTAATCAAAATTATTTTGCTTGAATTTCATGTTTATTTAATAATATGAAAGATACACATTGTAAATAGGGAAGGGTGGAGGGGTAAAGGGAGGACAGGGATATGGGGAAAAAATGAGAAACAAGATCTGTCATGCAAAGGTATAGAATCTGAATGATAAATGTAACTGTATTGTATGCTTAAAAAGTACCAATAAACTCAGTGAGGAAGAAAAAAAAAAGATGCACATATTTACAAAAAATATTAAGTAAATGGGTTTTTTTGCATTAAGCAGAGTGGTAAATAAAATTTTTTACATTGGAAAGTGAATTGTTAAATCTCATTTGTTGACCTAATGTTAGACATAAAACATAGCAAGAGTTTGGTTATTTATTTTTAATAAAATTATTAAATTAAGCTTCCACATACCTCTGTAATTCCTATATCCCGTTCTGTTGTATCCTGAGACAGACATTGCTGCGCAAGTGGATCATGAGGAGAAAACTCTTATTCTTTCCCCTAGTCTTTAATTTCAGGCCTTCTAGAAAATTCCAAAAGTTGAGAATGTCAAACTTTGGGTTTTGTTGTTGTTGTTTCACTTTGGGGTTTTTAAAAGTACATTTGCATAATGTACCAGTAAAAAATAATGATCATATTCATCATTTATACATGTACATAATACATCTTAATTCTTTTTGTCTCTTTCCCCTCCTCTCCTGCCAGCCCTTCTTTCCCTCCCCATTTTCTAAAGTTGTCTCCATTTTTTTCCTTTTTTTCTTTAAATACCTCTCCCTTCCTTACTTTCTCCTTCCCCATCTCTTGTTTCTCTTCTTATTTGAAAAAGTTCTTCCTATTTCCTAATATCTATTCTCCTAATAGCTCTGCGTCTTATTTATTCTTTGAGTTTCTTATACAAGAAAAACAATGTGATATTTAAACTTGTGTGTCTGATTTATTTCACTTAAGATTATGGTATGAGGTGCATCCATTTACCTAAAAATTCGTTAATCCTTCTTTGTGGCAGAATAGTACTTCCATTGTATGTAAACACCACATTTTCCTTATCTATTCATCTGTTATTGGTCATTTGGGCTGTTCCCAAGATTTAGCTATTATAAATTGTGCTGCTCTAAACATGGATATGTATACATCACTGAATAATGACTTTAATTCTTTTGGGAAGATACCTAGAAGGGGAATAGCTGGTCAAATGGAACATCTACTTTTAGTTTTTTGAGAAATCTCCATACTGATTTCCATAGTGCTTATACCCATTTTACTCCCACTATCAATGGAGAAGGGTTCCTTTTCCCCTCTGCCATGCCAGCATTTCTTATTGATTTCTTGATGATGGACATTCTCTTTGGAGAAGGAGAGATGGACATTCTCTTTGTTGTTTTAATTCACACTTCTTTTGGTTTTTTTGTTTGTTTTGTTTTGTTTTGGTACTGGGGATTGAACTCAGGTCCTTGTGCTTGTGAGGCAGGCACCAGAACCACTGAGCTAAATCCCCAGCCTAATTCACACTTCTCTTATGTGGTCAGTGACAGTGAACATTTTTTCATTTATTTACTAGCCATTTGTACTTCTTCACCTGAAAAGTATTATCTGTTCATTTTTGGATTGGGTCTTTAAGTTTGGGAGTTCTAGTTTTTGAGTTCTTTATATATGCTAAATATTAGTCCTCTGTCTGAGGAGTAGCTTGTAAAAACTTTTCTTTTCTCTTCACTTTGTTGGTGGTCTAAGGAGTATCTTGCTGGAATCAGTCTTTTCCTTCCTTTTATTCAGTCCCTCTTTTTCTTTCCCAAGACTTGTACCCTTTACATAATGAGTTTTTTTACAAAATCTTTTTCTAAACTGTTGAAAATCCTTGCCAGGTATTCTGTGTCTTGGTATTCACTCTATAAACCACGAGTAAAATGCAGCTCTTCTTTTATAACACTGTTTGTTGTTGTTGTTGTTGTTACTGATGTTCGACCGGGGTCGAACTCGGAACCTTGTGCTTGCAAGGAAGGCAGCAGGACCACTGAGCTAAATCCCCACCCTCTTCTTTTTTAAAAACAATTTTTTTTCAACTTTTAATAAGAAGCAAGTTTTCACCATTACATTTTTGCACATAACTTGATGAGATTTTAGTTTGGGGTTCCTGTTTAAGTGCTTGGTTTTATTCTTCTTTATAATTTTAAGCCAATTCTTTGGTTTGATGACCTTGCCAGGAAGTTTATAATGAACTCTTAAGGTAATGACTTCTATAAATCTGGAAAGATGCATATTTAATGATCTCCCAATAGCAGTCCATACAGTTATGTCCAGCTGTTGCCACTCCAAACATAAGCTGGCTGTTTTCAGGAACAGCATAGAGAAACAAAATATGTGTTTGGAGTACTGTCTGGTCTGTCAAGCTGTTGTCTCGGCCACCCCAAGCACTGTTTGGAACTCAGCATCTTGCTTTAATTTGGCTTTGAAATTCTAATGCAGAATTGTGGTCACATTCTTCAACTTGTCTTGCTCTGTTGATCACACAGCCTCTTGTCTTATATTACATGATGCACGCTACTGCCGATTCCAGGAATGTTTGACCTTTACAGGTCTTTGAAGCAAAATTCAAGAAAAATGTGATCACTGTCTGTGATTTATTATGAGGCTTCCCCTTGAAGACAATTAAAATAAAGCTTTTCTTTTCCTGCCTTTTCTGTGACCAAGCACTCTCAACAAATGAAAAGCATTCATTTGCCCAACTGCCCTGCATCTACAACCATGGCCCTAACTCTTTTTTTTTTTTTTAACATTTTAAAATGTTTTAAGTCCCCATTCCCTTCCTGGCTTGGCTAACCAGACCTTGCATCTGGCTCTGATTTTAAGGAAGATTTAACCTGACAGGCTCGAAGTCCTTGTGGGCTAGAACCAGATATTCTAGCCTCTCATGTAATTTTATATCTGTTCATGCAAATGGGTTGGGTTTTCTCTGGAATCTTTGAAGCCTTTAAACAGTTCCCTTGTGCTGTTCTAAAATTAGGCCAAAGTTTGGTAAGAGGTAACTTGATCTCCATTCTTCTTAACACCAGTGGGCAGACATTTCACTCTAAGGTAGCCTGTTTTTTCCTCTTCCAACTTGCAAACTATTTTACCAGTGTTCTTTCTGGTTAGTTCTTGGGTCCTCCTTTTGCGTCTCTGTCCTTGGGTCGTAGGCCTATCTTGTTAGTTCTTCATCTCTTATCATTGCAACCCAGGCTGTCTGTGATATGACTGCTGTTTCAGAAACTGGTAGTTTGCTGATGACCTTGACTAGGGCCATCTCCATGGAATCATGAGGGCAGATATTGAACTGTAGTGACTTTAGGAGTGAATGAGAAGCAAAGAAAGACAGAAAATTAGAGCAGAAATTAGGGGAAAAGGGATCAAGATGAGAGATTTGTGTGCATGTTTTTTAGCTGGTAGGGATGATTCAGTAGTGATGGGATGATGCTGTAGGAGAGAAATGGACAGCCAGAGTAGCAAAGAAATTACTGTTTGTTTGTCATTAAGAAATGAGTCTTCTTTCCCAGAAAATACTGTAGGCTGCTGAAGCACAGTGCTTAGGGCTTGTTTATGTAATGTGTAATGTTGCACCTTGCAGGAAAAGGACAAATTGAACAGAACTTATGCACGATAGCACACACACACACACACACACACACACACACACACACACACACGATATATATATATATGTATGATATATATGACCTGGATTGTACCAATAAACTCAATTAAAAAAAAAAGTACCAATAAACTCAATGAGAAAAAAAAGCATAGAAACTTTCCATATGCATAAAGGAAAATTAAAAGCCTACAATGTGCACTTTAACTACTGACTTCTCAGATCAAATAAGCTAAGGGAAAAAAAATGGTAAAAGCTATGCTTTTTCTTTCTGGTGTGACATTTTCCTATCTCTATAGATAGAATTGACCAGAATTTTGCTTTGAATTTTCTTTTTCAAATGTGAATAGTTCTCCAAATAATTATTTCCTAGTCATGTTCATCTTTTATGGAACACTGGATACTATATAGAAGAGGACCTTTTTTTGTTTGCTTGCTGAATTTTTTTATAGAGATAAAATGGGAGGAAGAGGATTTGGCTGCTCAATGATACTGAATAGAAGGTCTTTTCCAGTTCTATTCAATCTCCTACATATATCAGCCCAAGGCCAGAAATTAGTTGTCACAATTATCCTTCCTCATTTTTTCTTGATTTATGCTTCTTTTATGAGCAGAGCTGGAAAATAAAGTTCTTTTTACTTACCTCAAAGTTAGCAGGAAATTTCAATACTTAGTCAGTCAGAGTTTTCCAGAAAGCTTTCTACATACTTTAAAATAATTGTGTTCCTATTTATTATAATATGTTGAACAGAAGAGTCAAAGAGCATGAGTTTAGTTTCTTGGAATCTGATTTCATATGAATATTCATTAAACTATTTCTTGATACAAATATTATCATAATACAAAAGAAGAAAAATGTATAGGTAAGTCAAGAAAGTATTGCATTGTATTAGAACTTTTAAAATGCATTTCATTTTAAGGCCTCTAATACTGCCATAGATTATTTTTCACTTCATTATGACTAGCTCAGGAAATTGCTTCATCTTATTCAGGATGTGATACCCCACCTTTCCTTTCAGGCAATGGATATATTTTTTGTTTATGTAATTTATATTTGGGAGTGATGCTATGACTAAATGATAAAGTTTGTTCATTTTATATTTGCATCTGCTACATAAATTCTAATTATTTAATCATTTTGATATAAAGACCAAAAGCTTCATGAAAATGATTTGATAGTTATACAAGCATTAGGTTATATTAGAGAAAGCTAGGAAAATACATCTTTTATTTCTAAGTAGTATTATCTTCATACACTCTGAGCTCAGCCAGAAATGTATTAAAATGAACTAGAGAATAATTGAGAAGACCTATATCCAACTTTTACTTTACTTTCATTGTGATTTTTCGATACTTTTCCTTGTCTTTATTTTTCACTTGAAAAATGAAATTTTTCTATTATAGTAGAGAAAAGCAATTTAGATATAGAAAAAAGAATATGAAAATCCTCTCAGGGCTTTTTCACACTATATGTGTCCCCTACTTTTAATCCAGATTCTCACTTGCCCTCTTAAGAGTTCAGATATGGGCCATTCAAATAACATTATACAGGACACAATTACAGGTAGGTCAGGAAAAATTTACAGAGAAGGCTAACTGCATGTTTGTAACCAAATAAATGATAACTATGCTAGTAAATTATTGTAAACATATTTGAAAGTAAATTATTCATAATTAAGAAAAAGAAGTTCTAATTTTCTATTGCACTATATGTGTGACTATATCTGACTATATGTGTTAGCTATCTTTCTGTTATTATAACAAGTACCTATGATAATAAACTTATCAAAAAAGTTAAAAAATAAAATATATATGAAATTTATTTTGTTTTCTAGTCTAAATGCCCAGCTGAAGGTATTGACAGCTCTGGGAAAACAGCTTTACATTATGCAGGTAACTTTCATTCTCTTTCTCTCTTTTTTTTTTTTTTTAATTCAGGCCATTAACTTTGCCATACTATTGGTAAAGTTACCATACTATTGGTAAAGTTCATTCTTAGACATCTCTATTTTACTCAGTTTATAAAACATGTAGTTTTATCAAGTAGTATACCTAGAATTCATCATTTGCATGTTGTACAACCAGTAAAAGCTATCATGGTTAATATATTTTAATTAGGGCTGCAGTACAGCTCAGTAGTAGAGTATATGCTTAGCATACAGGATGCCAAAGGTTAAATACTCAGCACAAAATAAGTAAATACATTTAAAAATATATTTTATTTTAAAGATATACATACATCTATCTGTATCTATGTCTATTCTAGTTCCTTTTTAAAGTAAGAGATAGTCATAAGCACTTGTAAATTTCAGGTAATATATGAAAAAGATTTTCTTGACTTGGAGTCAATTTGAACATCTTTATTTATTTTTGTACTGGGGATCGAACTCTGGACCTTGTGCTTGCAAGGCAGGCAGTGGAACCACCGAGCTAAATCCCAGCATCAATTAATTCTATTTATTACTGTTTTGTTTTACTCTCTCACAAAATTTCAGCTAACATCGACATTGAAATCTCAGGATTTTAAAAAGTCTTGAATTTCTAGTTGTAGAAAAGTTAAGTCCAGTGAAAAGCTAAACCAAATATTTTCCTGGCAGGGATTGGGTTTAAGTCTGGATAACTGAAATTAAATAGTAATTTCCAACACCTCTTACTTAACCTCCTAATACGAGATTTCTTGTCAGTGCAGTTTGAGTGAACATGTGCTGACTGGGTAGAACATAATCTTTCCCTTCCTAGAAGTATTTGGTGTAGCTCTGTGATTGGCTATGGTGTTTGTATTTTCTTTCCTGCAGCGGCGCAGGGCTGCCTTCAAGCTGTGCAGGTCCTCTATGACCATAAGAGCCCTGTAAACCTCAAGGATTTGGTAAGTACCAGGTCATTAGAGGTGGAAACTGACACAATACTACAGCACTGTGAGATACCTCTGAGAGTCACTGAAACTTTAGTATCTGACAAAATTCTGTTGCTTTCCAACTAGATCATTTTCTGTGAAATGGTTTTATGTTTGTTCCCTTTGATTAACAAAACATTTTATAGCATGCACTTCATATATAGATAGATAGATAGATAGATATAGATATAGTATATATATGAATATATATACATATATATAGTATATATACTATATATATGTATATGTATATATAGTATTTCTGATTTAGAATATATATGTTCTACCATAAAGTTAAGTATGAATAACATTTACTTTCTTGATCTATAAAAAATATTTAAATAGAAAACCTATTATTTTCCTTCTGAAGCCCATGTATCACCTTGGGTACCTTCTGGTTAGAATTTACCAACTTTGAAGACCTATTCTAGCCTACTTTAACCTTAGTAAGCTATTTGGAAAATAAATTTGTCTACTGCACATTAGCAGCAGGGTTAAGTGTCAGAAGTACATGAGAATTGACATGTAGATACTTGCACCTGATGCAGGTGCCATGAAGTGACTTGACAGTCTATAAATAAATTAATACTCTATGAATCTTAGTACAGGTTAGATATTCCTATTCCAAAAACTCAAAATCAATTGAGCACCACTATGTTACCACCAGTGGAAAATTTCACACCATAATTCCATACACAATTATTTAAAATACTGTATTAATTACTTTAGCTATTTATAAAATCTGTGAAAATAAATAAACTTTCTACTTAGACTTGAGTTCCATACTCATTATTTATATGCATATGTTCCAAAATCTAAAGAAGTCCCAAGTCTGGAACACTTCTGGCATTTTTGAATAAATGATACTCAACTTGTACTTCATAGTTAGAAAGTATTATAACTTGATAAAGATAATATCTAGAAATCTATCTCAAATTATACTATAAAATTTAATCTCATAGCAATTATATTTTTAAATCCTCATTTTTGACTAGTTCAATATATTGTAAGTTATCTTTTATCTTTGCCTCTTTGAATGTTTCTAATTTAAAAATTACTATTGACTGCTGGGGATTTAGCTCAGCAGTTCAGTGGCCTGCCTTGCAAGCACAAGGTCCTGAGTTCAATCCCTGGTACAAAAAAAAAAAAATTACTATTGACTGACTTATGGATTATGTCCCAAAACAAACAAATAAACAAAACAGCAGAATAATAGCTTTCCTTTATGGTTTGTGTCTTTTGCATCAGGTCTCACCCTGAATTACAGAGATATTATTCTAGTGTTTTTCCCATTTGTAATATTACAATGTTTAAATTCTTACTCCATTACAAACTGCTGCTATAAACATAGGTGTGCATATGTCACTGTAATATAATAGCTAAAACTTGGAAACAGCCCATTTGCCCATCAGTTAGAAACTGGATAAAGAAGATGTGGTTTTTCTATAAATGGAATACTACTCAGCCATAAAGAATGAGAAATTAGAGTCATTCATAGGAAAATGGATACCTTCTGAGGATATACTCTTAAGTGAAATAAATAAGTCACATGCGTAAATACCGAATAGTTTCTCTGGTGTGAAAAACTATAATGGTACAGAAGATCCTAATGGGATAATTAACAATGTGAAATAGGAAGAAAAGGACTAAAGGTGTAGGGAAAGTGGGAAGGGTAGGGGAAATGGAATAAGGGAAAAGAAAAAAATATGAGAAAATGAAAACATGGAAATAAAGCATTTGTAAATGGGGAGGGGAGGAGGAGATGAAGGGAGGGCAGGAACAAGGGGAAAAAATAAGAACCAAGACCTGTCATGTGAAGGTACAGGATCCCAGTAATGAATGTAACTGTATTGTATACCTAGAATATACCAATAAACTCAATAAAAAGAAAAAAAATAATAATAAATTCTTACTCCATCTGACATAGCTTTCACATGAGTTGGGAGTCTCATTTTCTTTTTCAAAAGGGGTTGACAGTTGCCATGGTATGTTAAATAAATAGGTCTTCCCATTATCTTTATCTTGTAATAGACAGGCTCTTAATTTATCTTGTCTTTTGTTAGTAGTAGACAGATACTCTTAATTTGTGTTAGAGGAGGTTACCTCGTAAGACAATGAAAGGATACAGTTTCTGGGAAGACGAGTGCCACATTGAGATAAGCCTTCATTTCTCTAGAATGATCCCTGAATACTCATGTATGCTTGCCTTGATCCCTAATACTCTTTGTGTTCCACCCTCTCTCAAGTGATTACTCAGACAGTAATGGCTAAGGAAACAAAACAGTCCAAGAGGCTGAGCATTCTAGGAAAAAGTTAACAGTCAGAGAAATCCCTTGAGTTGTGCTTGAGAAGGGCAGAAGATGCCGTGGTGGATCAAATATTAGAACAGCAGTGTAAATCAAGGGGAAAAACGTGCAAAGAGCAGGGTCTTTGCATTTCTGGCAGTTGGTACTAGATAAAATCTAAATCTGAGTTTTTCTCGTAGGATGGGAATATACCACTGCTTCTTGCAGTACAAAATGGCCATAGTGAAGTCTGTTGCTTTCTCCTGGATCACGGAGCAGATGTCAATTCCAGGGACAAAAATGGAAGGTACTATACAGTTAGGAAAATGTCTAACTTCAGCAGTATCCACATTCTGAGTCTCATAAACACAGATGTTTTTTGGATGATCTCCTATGAAGTGGTTTTGACTTCTTTTTAAGTTTTTTTACCTTTTTGATAATCAAGAATGTTTCAGATTAACAGCAAAATTTTCCAGACTTGTTTGTGACTGTGATGAAACTATTAAATATTAAAGTGAATAAGCCATTTCCTGTGACTTTTCATGCAAAATTAAATAAAAACAAACATTGCTTTTTAAAAAATGATCTTAGAGGACTTTTTTTGTTCTTTAGAATACAGTGAAAGGACAAGATTTGTGCCAATCATATTAAATTTTATTATTTTTGCAATATTATAGATTATGCCTGTTTTTTAACTAAATATGATTTGATGTTTTGATTTACAGTTTTAAAAACTACTACCTAATTTCAACTTAATAGCATTCCACTTCAAATTCCCCAGAATATTAAGTGTAGTTAAGGTTTAACTTCACTTAAGCTTCATTTCCCTTATGTTTTTAGGACAAATGGTTTCCCAGTGAGGAGTTTTAACATTTAGTCAGTACTAATTTTCTATCTTCTTCTTTTTTTAGAACTGCTCTTATGCTGGCTTGTGAGACTGGCAAATCTAACATCGTGGAAGCCTTAATTAAAAAGTGTGCAGACCTAAAACTTATAGATTCTCTTGGACACAATGCCTTACATTATTCCAAACTCTCAGAAAATGCAGGAATTCAGACCCTTCTATTATCAAAAATCTCTCAGGATGCTGGTATGTGAAAGAAAATAGCCAATGTTATTTTAAATTTATCCACTCCATTTTCTCCAAAGGATAAAGGAATTTGTGCAATATGATATATTTTATTCTTTCAAATATGCTTTGCAAAAAAATGAAGTGTTAAATGTAGTGTGTGATATGTCTGTATCTCTGTATCTACCTAAAGTGGATATGAGTTATAAGTCATTGTGGTTCTTACATTTTTTTTCCACTCTTTTCTCTCTAGAGTTAAAGACCCCAACAAAACCAAAGCAGGTATTTATCTTGGGGTCGGGGTACCAAGGATTTTTTTTTTTCATTTTTGCTTATGGGAATTTGAAAATGTTTAGATTAAACCTTCTGGTTGACTAGAAAAGAGATAAAGAATACACTGAAAATATGTAAGTATTGAAATATCTTTGGGATAAATGAGTCATTGTTATAAGATGCTAAATGCTTTCTTAATGATTTACTTTATTTCAAAAGCATATAACTTTAAATTTCATCTTTGCCTGAAACATACTAATGCATCTTTACTGAAAATGTGAAAATGTTTGATGTTATTTAAACTAAGACTGAATAACAGTATTTTAATTATTTGTAAATAGCACATAGACTATAGACCTGTGGCCATGAAATTGCCAAATATGCAATGAAAATAAGAGATTTATCTTTTTATTTTAGTGTGATTTTTCTAAATTGTCATTCAATGTTACCCATAGAAGAAATTGAGAAGTTTGCCTTGTTCATTTGGAGTTTTTCCTAAACACATGTTGTTAATATTTGTTTTTGTTTGGCTGTTTTATTTATTTATACACTGAAGTTCAAGGAGAAGTCATAATCAACAAATAATACTGAATTTATTATGTGCTAACTTCATTACTTATCAATAACCTTCAGAGATGAGAGCCCCCTTTCATTCATAGTTTCATTCTTTAAAAGAAAATGGAATGGAGGTATTGCAGAGGTGCAAGAAATACCACTGCTTTGCATTAAGATAGATGACTATATGTATTCTAGGTTCTAAGTTATGGTAGGATAACTCCTCATCCTCTACTTTTCCATTTCTCCAATTTAGTCTGGTTTTGTCATGTTTTTTAAATTTCTTGCTAAGAAAGCATGGGCTGGTAGAAGAAAACTTGGAGCATGCATATTACTTTTTTTATAATCAGTAGCAGATTTCAGATATCATTGAAGTAAGAAATGCATGAACTGAGGTTTTTTTTCTCATTTGTTTGATGCATTTGTTTGATGCAGCTACTTGCTCAGACTTTACTAACCTAACTAACCCACCTCCATTCTTTGGACTGTGATAACTTTCAGCATGAACAAGTCTCTAAAATAAGCTCAGAAAGAAGTGGAACTCCAAAAAAACGCAAAGCTCCACCACCTCCTATCAGTCCTACCCAGGTAAAAACAAACAAAACAAAAATCAACAAGCATATTCCAACAAAGCTATGATTTTATCATTTTGTGTTTAGGTCAAATTAAATATTTTAGAACTGACCATGAAGTATACATTATAAGTTTTCTTTTGTAGTTCAAAACTACAAATTGTGGGGCTGGGTCTGTAGCTCAGTGGTAGAATGTAGGCCTAATGTGCATGATGGCCTGGTCTGATCCCCAGCACACACACACACCCCAAAAAACAAGCAAAAAGAAATAAAATGCAAATATTGATTATAACTATGGAAATAATGATTTTTTTTTATCTATTTGAAAACTTTAGAGTTGAACAGTTTTTTGTTTTGTTTTGTTTTGTTTTTTGTACCAGGTATCAAACTTAGGACCTTCAGCCTTCTAGGCAGGTGCTGTGTCACTGAACTAAATTCCCAGCCCAAACAGTATCTTTTTTAAAAACTTCAAGGAAGTTTCTCAAAATCTTATGATAAAACTTTTCCCTTAATAAGCTTAGTTCAATTTTTAGTTTCCCTTATTAACAGCACCAGTAAGGGATAGAGAAATTAGTAAGGCGGTTAGATGGAAATGGATTTTAGTTGATCTCTTAAAGCATTGCTAAAATATATTTGCCTTTGAAATTATATTGATGGTTGGGTAATATTATAAGTAGTTTTTATTTCTGAGTTATGACTACCTAATAGAGAAGGGAGCCCAGAAATCTATGAAATGGCAAATAAAAACAGGTTGAGGCTTGCTGTTAAAAATTAAATCATCCATATTCAAATAGAGTAGTATTTCATCTGATAAGTGACTTTAATAGACATTAGTATATCCACTAATAATAAGCTCAACCTGCAAAAGATCTTTTAAAAATTGATTCTACTTAATATAAAATCAGAGTTACTCAGTTTTACTCTATAAACTTTCAAAAAGTATTTCAAATAGCTGAATTGGCTAAAAAATTTACCCCTGAATTAATTCGAGCTAAGGATATACTGTAAGATTTAACTCTGATTAAATGGACTAATTCTTATGACTACAGAAGAAAAGACTTTGAAAACACATTCTTTACTGATGGTTTTCTTTTCTTTCTTTTTCTTTCTTAGTTGAGTGATGTATCTTCCCCAAGATCAATAACTTCTACACCACTTTCGGGAAAAGAATCACTATTTTTTGCTGAACCACCCTTTAAGGTATCTACTTTCTGTGTTCAATTTTATTACTGCCCTTAAAGATATATGATAGACTTCTTTTAAAGTATACGACACTGGCAAAAACAATATACTCCTAAATGATTGGTTCACAATTTTTCCACCACAAAGAACCTTTTGATTATTTTTTCCTGGCATGGACACCAGAAAAACAAGAATGGAGAGAACAAATTAACATTTACTGACCAATCATTAATTTTCTTTCTTTTAAATAGTAACAAATGGCATTTACGTGAAATCTAAAAAAGTTGAAATCATAGAAATAGAGAGCAGAATGAGGGTTCTGGGTGTTGAGGTTAAGTAGAGAGTTTGGAGGATATAGTGGGTAAAGATTACACTTCAGTTTAACTGGAAGAATAATTTTATAAAAACTGTTTTACAGCATGGTGGTTGTAGTTAATACCAATGTGTTGTATTATTGAAAATTGCTAACAGTAGATTTTTAAGTATTCTCTTCACAGAAATGATTGTGAGATAATGCATATGTTTATAGCTTAGCTTAGCCATTCTACATTACACATTCATTTCAAATCATCATGTCATATAATATATATATAATATTTTAACAATTAAAAATAAGATTTTGAAAAGGTAAAATGGTAGACGTTGCTAACTTCTGAGTGATTGTCACTCCCTTGTTTATTCCTGAATACAAATTGATAAAATGACAAAAGTCAAAATGTTTAAAATTCTCTTCATAAAGAGTGGTATCCTGTATTGAACTCTGGGATAGAAAAAGAACATTAGTGGAAAACAGTGTAGTCTGACTAAAGCCTACATTTATCAGTATTAATATCTTCATTTTGTCTAATGCCTCATTACTACGTAAGTCAACATTAGGAGAAACTAAGTTGCTATTTTAAAACTTTTATAAACCAAAAATTTTCCAGAGACAAAGCATATTTAAAATTTTTTCTAGAGATAAAGATAATTTATCTGAATTTTAGGAACTCTCTTACGTCTTAATTCTACCTTGGTCTGTAAATTTGTGGTTGGAAAGTATTTCAAGGAAATGGAATATCACTAGGAAATTGTACTTGGGAGTAAATGAAATTTGTAATTGTTAAAATAAAATTCAGTTGTATAATTGTGTATTTACTTGTCTCCATCTCAGAATAAACATTTTTTAACTTAGGTGTACATTGATATAAAAAATAGTCTATCAACATATTATTCCTTCACTTTAACTTGACTTAGGATGAATACCTATGCAAGACAGGGCAAGAAAGGTATACTCTCACAATTAGTCCACTAATATAGTCTCATATCATCTCTATGGCTTAGAAGAAGCAACACATTCCAAAGAAAAATACCCAAATTGTGATTTTTAAGAGAACTATAATTTCTAAACAAGCAAGACAAAAAGTAATAGTTAAAGTAGATAAACATTAAAAAGACTAAACATACTAAGTGTTTGTGAGAATGTGAATGAGACCGTATTTTTTTTGGTGAGATTGTAAATGGTACAACTACTTTGGAAAATTGTTCAGTAGTTTTTTTTAAAAGTTAAATATTAGAGCAAGGTAATGCATACCTATAATCCCAGCACTGTGAGAAGCTGAAGTAAGAGGATTGCAAGTTTAGGCCCAGCCAGGGCAATTTAGTGACTTACCAAGAGCACCTCTGAAAATTATTTAAAGGGCTGGGGATGTTGCTTAGTGAAAAGACCTTGGATTCAGTCTCTAGTGCCCCCTCTACACATTCAAGTTAGACATTTACCTCATTAATATATGATCAGCCATCCACTCATAGACATTTACTCAAGAGAAATGAAAATATATGTTTATACAACAGTCTCATACACAGATTTTTCCAGCATCTTTATTCACAATTTTTCTTAAACTGGAAACAGCTCAACTGTTCTATACATGAATGGATAAAGATGAGATATATTCACATAATGGAATAGTACTCAACAATAAAAAAGAATTAATTGTGGTACAAGCAACATGCTTGATGAATCTGAAAATCATCATGCTGAGTGAAAGAAGCCAGCCACAAAAGTATCCTCACAATATGACAAATTATAGCAATTTTAGAAAGTGGAAAAAGAATCAGAGTTGCCTGGAAATGGAGTGAGCAGGGATTAGCTGTGATGAGGCCTGAGGAAACATTTAGGGGTAACAGACATATCTGCATTTTGATGATGGTGGTTTGATGGGTATATATCTGTCAAAACCTCCTTAAATTGTAAACTTTAAGTGGATGTCATTTATTGTACCTTGAAAAGATAAGATCATTTTTCTAAAATGGAAAGAACAGCTTTGTGAAAAGATATGCACTTACCAAAAATAAGCCACTTAATTTTGAACATTTGGGCTTTTATAAAAAAGTCTTTTTGCTGAAAAGTGATCTCTCATCACTATCCATGGCTCATCTAAATGAAACAGTGATTTCTGCCAAGTTTCTGTAATGTTTTGAAATGTGATTCTTGAAATGAGTCTGTCTTTGAAATTGTAAGAATTTTTGCAGTATATTAATATATTCAGGGATGGTGATTAAAGGAAATCTTTAGGAGATCAGTTACCAAATCCAAGGCCATACAAATTTTTCTTCTTCTCTATAGTTACCTTTTTATTCCCTGACAGGTGTTATTTATTACCCATGTATGATACTGATAAAGTTAAATTCTTTGCTTTGCAGAATTTAGAAATCCTAAATATATTACCCAAGTAAGTGAGATCATTATGAAAGAAATTGTTCTATTTTGGGATTTAGAACACAGCCCCATAAATGAGCTGTTATATAAAATTATAAATATATTTGTGTTACACTCACTAAATGAAATTTCTGAAAAATATTTTGAGACTGTACCCTCTGGAACTTCTAATATTTTAGAAATTATCCCTTAGTTGATAAATTGTCACTTTTATTCACTTATACTTAACATACTTTTTCTTCTTGAGATCTTCTAGGTGTTTTTCTGGTAGAATAATGCCAACTCTGCTCTCTCAAAGAAGGAATCTGCTTGATTTCTTTTGTGCAGTGCTATGTTTAGAAGTATTCTTTTTAAGTTATTTTTGTTTCTGCAGGCTGAGATTAGTTCTATACGAGAAAACAAAGACAGACTAAGTGACAGTACTACAGGTAAGATAAAAAAAATCTGTTTTTGTTCCTTTGACCAAACTTTATTTATTCCACGTCCATTTAAAGAGAGCAGAGGCCACACTGGGGCACTTTGTACAGGGAAGGCATGAGAACGAGCTTACTGTCACAGAGCAGCTGACAACGCACAGGACTTCCAGGGGGCCTTAACCTGGATTTTAAAGAATCTCTGAGTTTTGATATAAAAAATGTAATTTTTGTTTAAAAAAAGCACTACCATTTTCTTCACATACAAATATAGTCAATAAACCCCAGCAGTATTAGCAGACCTGTGACTTTGTCATGCAGAGAATTCACAATTTCCTATCACTTTACTGTTACTGCAGGTATGTTGAAATACTATTTCTAAAATATCCACTAAGAGTTTTGGCAGTTGTTAGACCTGCTTTTACTTTTTGCTATTTGATGTCTTACAATATAAGTATTTAGATCACCATACCCTCTATTTTACCTTACACATTTACAAACAGCTTTATGAGATGTGGTCCATAAGCTTTAGGCTGTTTGATCTCAGCACCTTGAATGCATTGCAGCTGAGCAGCAAGTTATGTCATAAAGAGAGCGGGATCCATGCACCTCTGTGACTGCCATAATCTAACTTTAACACTGTAGGGTATAAGCAGACTTGGACAAAAACAGAGGACTAATGAAATCATACACAGCCATATTATCTTAGGATAGGGTTTAATTAATTGTATCTTTTAAGTCTCTCCTAAAGGGGAAAACAATTACTACAGCTCCATCTTATCTGTGAGAATATAGTACAGTATCTTCAGAATTAATTTAACATAACTCAGTAGATTATTTCTTTTGTTTCAGCATTCAGTTTCCTAAAGTAGTCAGCACTTCATTTGTGTTGGAGCCTTTGATTTGCAGAATTTAGAAGTATTCCACTTTCTAATTGCCAATAGAGATCAATGTTAATATAAATCAACAAGTATTACATTGGATAGTTTAAGAACCATCCATTGTATCTGTGAGGTAATTTCTACTATTTAGAATTGCAGTCATGTTCCCAATTGCCTATTTCATTCTACCAGAAAGGGAGCTCACCAGACTTCTTATTAAGGGATTCAGAAAGCTGTAGTTTAAGCATCAGACATCAGTACAATGCCTTATTTTCAGAAGCAAGATTTTCTATGAAGAAGCATTATTTTTGAGCCACCCAAATTAAGATCAAAATTTTCATCTCTGCACTAAATGGCTGAGAAAAGGAAAACCATGAGTTAGAAAAACAAATCTAGTATTTAGAGTGTGATCATTAACTATTAACAACCAGCAATAATAATAAGGAGTTTGTACCAGAAAGTAATCCAACTATGTTGTTAAGCACACTGTTTCATTTAGCTGATTTTTTTTTTTTTT